GGCAGCTCCCCACCCCAGCTCACCTCTGCTCCGCCTCTTCCCCGAGCACGCAGCCCCCACTCTAATTCTCCACCCCTCCCAGGCTTGCAGCGCCAAACAGCTGATTGGAGCTGCAAGCCTGGGAGGCGGGAGAAGTGGAGCCACCACCGCGCGCTCAGGGAGGGGGTGTAGGAACGCTGTAAAAAAAAATTGGGGGCACTGCTTTTTGGTGCCCCCAAATCTTGGCACCCTAGGCAACCGCTTAGTTTGCCTAAATGGTAGCACTGGCCCTGCCTGTAAAGAAAAATACATATATGCATTTACTTCTGGGCTGAGATTCAAGTTTTAAGCTTCTCAGCAAGTGCATAATACATATTTCATTCTTCCCAATATTTTCAGAGAAAAAAGGTCTTGGCCATTTTAGAATAAATGTATATACCTTCTATTTGAAAGTTTTATTTGGAAAAAGTGTGTTGTCCAAGGAAACTTAGCATGTTGTATGGATGCACTTATATATATATATACACACACACACACTGCCTCAGACACCTGCTTCAGAAGGTGAATGTTTTCACAAGATTGTTTTTCATTTAAAAGCACAATGCATTTTTAGCATCCATATATATGAAACTTGTGTAATTCTGATGACTGTCTCCTTAAAACATTTGAAATATATTATGTAAATTTAGCAAGAAGAGACCAGCATTATCCCAATGTATTTTTCCATTAAGGTATACATTTTTGAATAAATACTTTAAACTAATGGGGAAATTTTGCAAATTTACATATAATTCCAGACCGTCTCATTGGTATTCATTGTCCATTGTGCTGTAAAAAAGCCCTCCCAAAATCCAGGAGAAAACAAAAGCCTATTTCTCTAAGTGTAAAACGGCTCCATGTCTTAATACCTGATATTGGAGATAGTGCTAAGGTCTTGGCTCAGGGCTTTGTTTTTTGTTTGTTTTTTAAGTTGAACATTGTCACTAATGTGAATGTGCAAGAAAAAAAACAATGAAACCCCCCCCCAGGGAGAGCCATCAAAATACAGTATTATTTATGTTGCATTTCTAGACAGTGGAGTTAAACGTGGGCAGAACTAATGTCACCCATTAGAAAACTAACATCAGAAGAGAGAAGCTAAGATAGTTCGTGACACTCCCCCACCCCAATATTTTCAATGCAGGAATGAGGATTTTCCCTCTAATACAAAAGGCTTGCGACCTCCACAGGCCCATTTTTTCCAAGCTGGGAAATAGGCTGGCCCTGGCTAGCTGATGCTTTAAAGGGTGATGCACACATCTGCTCATATCTGAAGATATTACTACAAGAAGTTATCACATCTAAAAGGAATTCTAAAATGGAGCACAGCATTCAAATGCTTTTGACACCATCATTGACTGCAGATGCAAACCTCTGAGCCTGCACAAGTTGCCTGTTCCCCCGCGGGCCTGATCCAAAGCCCACTGAAGTCAATTGAAGTTTCCATTGTTTTCAGTGACCTCTGGCTCAGGCCCTCCGAGCTGCTGCTTCATGGGGCGTATGCAGATGCTCAGGCATGACGTCGGGATGTGTCTCTTCCCCACAGAAGCTTGAATTCACAAGCATCCTTCTGGAAGGAACCTGGATTAGTCATCACTTCGCCACAGATGGACTGTGAGGAAGTGTTCCATGGAGAAGATTATAGGTCATGGAAATTCCAGTTTCTCCCTTAAAAGTAACATACCCCCACTACCTCCCCATGTTAGTATTTTTTTAAGATGTTGATTTTGAAAGGACTTGAAAGGAAAGAGTGATGCAATTAAGCTCTGAGGCTTATCACAGACAATCACTTCCTCCAGACATAGTAAAATGCGAGGGCTTGTTTTATGCATTGATGAGCATGTTTCTTTAAGGAGCTGTGGTTAAGAGAGGCATGCCTTTGCTAGGCTGTTAGTCTCTCTCCCAGACCCTCCATTTCAAACCTGCCTCTGGTTTTTATTCCTATGGACTAGACATGGCCTGGAAAAGGGGAACTTCCAAAGTCCTTTTCAGCCTTTTTTGTGCCTGCATCTCTTTTAACGGTCACTCCGTTACCCACCTAAGATTAAAAGGATCCTTCTGTAGCAAAAGTTGCAGGCTCCCTGCTCAATTCCAGGCTCAGGCCATGTCTATATGTGCAGCGGCACAGCTGTATCAATGCAGCTGTGCTGCTGCAGAGCATCTGGTGAAGATACTCACTGATGGGAGAGAGCGCTTCCGTCGGCCTAATAAAACCATCTCCATGAATGTCAGAAGCTCTCCTACCAACATAGCACTGTGCTCACGAACACTTATGTTGGTATAATTTGTCACTTAGAGGGGTGGTTTATTCACACCCCTGAGCGATATAAGTTATGCCAACCTAAGCTGTAGCGTAAACCAGTGGTTCTCAAGCAGGGGTACGCAGAGGTCTTCCAGGGGGTACATCAACTCATCTAGATATTTGCCTAGTTTTACCACAGGCTACATAAAAAGCACTAGCGAAGTCAGCACAAACTAAAATTTCATACAATGACTTGTTTATACTGCTCTGTATACACTGTATACTGAAATGTAAATACAATATTTATATTCCAATTGATTTATTTTATAATATATGGTAAAAATGAGTCCACAATTTTTCAATAATAGTGTGCTGTGACACTTTTGTATTTTTTAGGTCTGATTTTGTAAGCAAGTAGTTTTTGAGTGAGGAGAAACTTGGGGTTACGCAAGACAAATCAGACTCCTGAAAGGGGTACAGTAGTCTGGAAAGGTTGAGAACCACTGGTGTAGACATAGCCTTAGAAGAGAGAAACATAAGCGATCCCTCCCTGATTGACAAAACATTCTCACTGGATTTCAGAGACCTGTGGAAGCTACATCCAGCCTCTCCCAGCCTTAGTGTTTTGCCCAGTGACCTATGAACTCATTAGAAATCTAAAAATGTCGAGTTCTCAGTGTTATAAAAAGCACATGCCCTGGGGATGCAGTTGTGTAACGTGTGGTGAGTAAAGCTCGGCAATGTGGCTGAAGATGGAAGTTAATACGCAAGCTCTTCCCTGACAATTGCAAACTCTTTGCTCCTTCCCTGTTGAAAAATGGGCTCCACACTCAGAGGATTAATAATTAACGGATATTACTTGATCTCATTCAATCCATTTCACAGAGAGAAATCACAGGTTGGCAGCACTTACAGGAACCTCAAAGCATCAGCAGCTCCACTTTGAAGCCAGCAAGCTTTGGAATATTACATTGAGATCTTTTGAAAAGAAGTTCAGAGCAGGAAAAATACCTCATCAGCAATATCCCTCTACTATCGTCACTGTGAAGTGCTGTAAGGGAATCACTCTCTGATCAGAGTTCCAACCATTGTGCTGCACAGTAGGGTTCACTATTGTCACTATTACTGCCTGGTCTTTCACAGGATATATGGCCTGTGTGTGTGGTGTGTTTTGTTTTTGTGCAACTTGTGTGCTTGAGAAATTCACCGTGTGACTGTGATGCAGAAGAGCAAAGGGACTTTTTTAACACCAGACTGATCAAAACCATCAAGGGAAGACCCTGAGAAACTGTCTGTCCATGGAGAAATTTTAATCTCTGAAACTAAGCACCAGTCTAATGTCTGGCAAAGAGGCCAGCACTCCTGTCCATCCCATTCCATCCCACCAAAGGACTACTTTGAGATAGGGTAGTGTGCATCTTGCAATGCAAACCCGTGCATGTGAGCTTGAAAGAATTCTCGTGTTAAATTTTGTGTGCAAATTCTATTCGCCCTAGCGGGCTTTATGGGTGCAGATTCTGATACCTGCAGAATCTTTTAAAGATTCCAGAGGTGTTTGTACCAACAAAAGGCAGGTGCACAGTTTTGAGTTCACAAGCAGAAGCCAGGTAGCCATCCCTCTGAAAGTGTGTCCAGATGACTTTAATATCTTCACTTTCATAATTTCTGATTTTAGTGGCAAATTTTCCACCAAACATTTCATTGAAATAGGCACATTCCCATGAAACATTCTGATTCTGATTTAACTTTATTTTCTGATGGACGATGACTTTTGTTTCCCAACCAGCTCTAATAAGAAAGTAAAGAGTTCTTAAGGCTGTAAGGCTCTCTGACTGGACAATTGATGAAATGGTGATGCTACAAGAGCTGACAGTATAAACTTTAATCTACGAAGAGGAAGAGGGTTTTTTTAGTCTTACTGTTTAAAACTCTTTTCTTGGGGCGGGCGGGGGGGGGGAATAAACCATATATATCATCAATTGTTAATTATCACTTTGAACAGGGGAATCACCTCCATCCTTTCAGTTAAGGTGCTGAAGATCACAGTAAACTCCCTTATGTCTCAATAGCCCTCAACAAAACTGGAGGCTCACATTTTGAAGGTAAAAAAGAAAGAAGGGGGGGAAGGGAGGAGGAACCTCTCCAGGAAGCAGGGGGGGAATCTTTTCAGGCCTTCTGGGTAACGTCATGAAAACCCCTGCAATTTTAAGTCCTTTGCAGATCATCTTTAAAAACATGGGGAAATGAATCCATTGCCACCCAGGATGTATCTAGCCCATGACTTTTAGCTGAACTGCACTTTTTTTTAAAAGACCCTTGCATAGAGACTGTACCTCTTTACTTCAATTGCACTGTGTATTATCTACAGGCTGAACCAGCAGCAGCTCCACTGATCATGGTCAACAAGACCATAAACTACTGGGATCCTGATTTTGAGGACGATGTCATCAACATTAACGTTGGGGGTCTGCGAAGAAGGCTCAGCTCCAGTGCTCTCTCTAAATTCCCCAACACCCGGCTGGGGCGTTTGCTGACCTGCGACTCGGAGGAGTCCATCCTGCAGCTCTGTGATGACTACGATGTGAGCGCCAGGGAGTTCTACTTTGATAGAAATCCAGGCTTCTTCCTATATGTGCTGCACTTCTACCAGACTGGGAAGCTGCATGTCATGGATGAGCTGTGCGTTTTCTCCTTCTGCCAGGAAATAGAGTACTGGGGTATCAATGAGTTCTTCCTGGACTCCTGCTGCAGCTACCGCTACCATGAGCGTAAGCTGGAGAGCCGGCACTACAACTGGGACGAGGAGAGCGAGGTCAGCAGCGTGGACACATCCCCCGACGAGATCTCTGACTTCAACCATGACCTGCTCCGCTACAGCACCCTGTGCTGCGGCAACTTGCGTAAGCGCCTCTGGCTCACCATGGAGAACCCAGGCTACTCCATCCCCAGCAAACTCTTCAGCTTTGTGTCCATCAGCGTGGTGCTCGTTTCCATAGCCACCATGTGCATCCACAGCATGCCTGAGTACCAGGTACTGGATGAGGATGACAACGTGCTAGACGACCCTGTCCTGCACAATCTGGAGTATTTCTGTATCGCCTGGTTCACCTTTGAAGTGTCCTCCCGCCTGCTGCTTGCACCCAACCTGAAGAAGTTCTTCAAGCACCCGCTGAACCTGATTGACATTGTCTCAGTGCTGCCTTTTTACATCACCCTCTTGGTGGATGTGACTCTGGGCAGTGACTCAGAGCTGGGGAACCTGGGCAAGGTGGTGCAGGTGTTCCGGCTCATGAGGATATTCCGGGTGCTGAAGCTGGCTCGGCATTCAACTGGACTGAGGTCGCTAGGGGCCACCTTGAAGGTAAAACGCTGCTCCTTATCTATCACTGTGGTGTTTAGGTGTGAAAGATGTTTGGTATTTCAATAAGATGTAGCTGGTAGAGGTATCTACAGTACTTCCACTGGGGTCCCAGCTCATAGAATCTGGAAGGTTCCTTAGGGTAATGTCACAAACCTTGCAGTATACTAAAAAAATCTGGCATGCTAGGCACTGTGTGCTCCCCTTAGAATACCTGTAGAACCTTACATCCACATACACGGCTCCCAAAGGCACACAGGGATTCACACTTGGATTTGTAGATGTGCTTCAAGGAAAGCTATTGGCCATGTGGTACTCCACCATACAGTACCAGAGTGGTCAGAAAGCACAGGTGTAATAGAGCCAGTGGTGTGAATAGTTCCTGCGTTCATCTGGCCTGTGTGTTTTACGAGCCGCACAGGGCCAAGCTAGTCAGAAGCCACTTAATGTTCTAATAATACGGCATGCACCATGGAGCTCAGCTGTGCGACCTACTCCCCAAACCCAGCTTCTTCAGCTTCATTCTACTTCTGTCTCCAGCATGGCTGGGGGGGGGCCTTCCTAGGAGCATGCTGCCAGCTCGCCTGAGGCCAACGCTCAAGCATTGGTGCCCCTCCTTCCAGGAGATGAGGAGATCCTGGGCCAGCTCAGCTCAGTTGCTTGCAATGCTCTAGTGGTCTGAGTGACTGGCTGAGGTGGGCATTGCTTGGAGTGGCAAGCAGGTGCCAAGAGAATGCCAAAAGACTGAAGGTGCATCCAGTATAACAGGGCCTGGGACACAACAATAGGCCCAGATCAAGGCAGAAAACGTAGCTTTTTGACAAAGAGCAGGACTGAATTCTGGGCACTTTCCCTTCTACACAGTCTGTAGTCTCTCAGGCTGCAATTCTGAGGGCTGAGCTGGAGAACACTAGCACCCTGTCCTGAGCAGGCCAGCAGGACACAGGTCCAGACTGGGAGATGCCTGAGACACTTGATCTCTTTGAGGGGACCAGGATTCAGACACAGCAGAAGAGACAGCGGTTAAGCAAGTCTGGCAGGAAGAGGAGGAGTCTACAGACTAGGGGCCCTCTACAGCAGGTATGCAGCTCTTTACTGTGAACTGATGGGGGCTGGGGAAGAGTTTTCGGAGGTCATTACAAATCCTGCGATTAGTGTCCGTATAAGGACCCTCATGAGGCCGAAATCTCCAACCCGAACCCAGTCTCCACTCGCCTCCTGGCCATACCAGTTTTCCCCATGCCATTCTCCATTCACCGCCACATAAAATAGCAGCTGCTGAGCTCTCCAGCCCAGTCAATTCAATCCTGCTGTAATTCCTCAAGGTCCGCTCCCCACTTGCCTGGCTCCCAAGCATTACTGCAATACAAACAATTAATCATAATAATAGCAATCCGCTATAGTCTAAACAGTAGAGACTGTTACTGTAAAAAAAATTCCATATTGGGCACTGTGGCCAAAACCTTTCTTTTGAATCCCGTCAGCCCACATGCCAGACAGAGGCACCTAAGTACCATGCAGCTGTTCTCTTTACCTGCAGACACACTTCATTGTCTTTCTGGTTACTGTTCAGAGAAACAGTCCTACTCCCCTTTTGCCATCTCAACTACCACATCCCAGGAGAGTTGGGGGAATAACTATACTGCCCACCCCACCTACTGTTGGACAGCAAATACATCTTTAGAAAGCTAATGGAGATACCAATTCTTAGCCTGTATATTTCTCCCGTTCTTGGCAGCTATGTCCAAAAAAAAGTCATAAAGCAAAAATCCGTAAAGATTCCTTGCTATCAGAGTGAGGCTATGCATATTTGCTTCCACTCCCACAAACACACATCCTGCTGATCCTCCTAGTTCCTCGTCCATGTGACTAGTTCACCAGTGCAAATTTATCAGACTTCCCTCCCCCGCCCCCCCCCCTTGTTTTCTCTCATTCCCTCTTGATGGGCCCTCTGCAAAGAGTTGTTTTCAAATGCCTGGTCTCCATTGTTAGTCATACAAAATGACCATCCCATCCACCCCATATTATCTTGTCAGCATCACATACCCTTATGTTCCTAATTTAATCCTTATTTTCTGTTGTATGCCCTTTATCGTCTCTAGCCAAGGAGACAGTACCTTCCAAGAAGGTATTAGAATTCAAATCTGAACTGAAATTGTCACTTGGCATGTCTGTATGGCATACAATAGGGCCCTGGCTCATGAGTCTGACTCATAGACCCCCCTGCATACAAATAATAAATCCTGGAATTCCTAGGGGTAGATGGGATATCACTGTGGCTTTTAACTCTTTTCATTTCTTATTTTTCAGTATTGTGGCTACTCCAGCACTGCATACGCCCCAAAACCAGCTTGGGGTCAGGAGGACTGGATTGACTGGTGGAATGGCTGCGAAACCTGAGAAACTGGGAAGACTAATTCTTGGACATGCACAGAGACAAAAATAGTTAGTGCCAGGGTCCCAGGGACCTATATTATGATTCCCATATGTGGTTCTGCAGTATATGGTTGAGAGGCCCCCTACACAGACCAGTACAGTTGAAAAGTAGTGTGATTTTAAAATCACAAACATGTTATAAAGGCCTGAAACACAACACATGTCTTAAGGCCCATGTTTTCAAGTGATTTGTAAGATTTCTGTTTCTAAATAGTTGTTCTTGTTACATAAGTGGATAAAACAATTCCATTTCATTCTGAAAACCTGTCTCAAAAGTGAGCATTTAGCTGAGGAATCTGGCAAAGGATGGCTATAAACATAATGTAAAATTGTTACTTACTTGATTGCAGAATTCCAATAAAGCTGTACATGTGGGAAAGGCTCCCTGAACTCTTTCCGTGTTGCAGCTAAGTGTGAATGACAGCGTAACAGAGTGGGGACTGACAGGCTGATTGTATGTTATGCAGGGGTGAAGCCTAGGGAACTAGGATTTTCCTGGGCTTTGACTCAGCCTGAGCTACCAATTGGCTGAAGGATGCTGAGCAAAGTCTCTCTTGAGCTACTTTGGGAGAAATTGAAATCTCACTGAAAACACCAAACCGCTGCGTCAGATTTAAGTTTTTTTGCTGGGCATGTAAATTACAAAGTATTGTTAACATTATCTTCCTCCCTTCTGCAAGAGCATACAGCATCAGAGGAACGAAAGCCCATTGATAGAAGAGGGAAGTAGGGAGTTGGTATCTTTGGCAAGTGGACTGATTAGCATTAGTGCCACAGAGACATGAGCAGGGAGATTTCTGCTGTTTGTTTATTGTAAAGAAACTCTGGATGTTCATCAAATCACCCGGGGCCTGATCCAAAGCCCATTAAAGTAATGACCCTTCCCATTGCCTTCTGTGGTCTTTGGATCCAGCTCTCGGTTCCGACAAAGCCTCTCCAGGGGACAAAGGTCCATGTGAAAGAGGATCTGCTACAAGCCAGACCCAGCCACGCTGCGCCCCTACCTCATTGTCTGCTCCTAGCTATTGTACTTTATTCTGTCCCTCCAGCCTCTTTTATTTTTATTGACTCTTTCTGAACAATTGGCCCTGGCACTCCATGCTGCTAAGAGGCTGCCTGTGTGAAACTGACTTCCAGAAGATGCTGCCAGTGAGGCAGCAAACATCAGAGAACCTCTCTGCTCTAATTAGTCTGTCAGGCTTGGAAGGCCAATTTGTGATATTGGATGCAGCTATCATGCTTCTCAGATACAGGTGAGGTGCCTAACTCTCATTGAAGGTCGGTGGGAGTGCCTAACTTGGGTGTTTTTGTAAATCCCAGCAGGCATCTATCTGTATCTTTAGATCCTAAATATCCTGGGCAAGTACAAAGGGTTAGATTTACAACAGTGTCACAGGAAGCCCACGCCTAAGCCAGGAAGTGCATCCAAGTCTCCCGAGTCTCAGTCCAGTGCTCGATCCAGGAGAACATCCTTCCTCCCCTTAATTCTCACTTGTGCCTGGGCAGGGACCGTGATTCCAGAGTCTTATACCACATGGGCACACCAGAATATGCCAAGGAGAGACTTCCAGTCTTCACACTGCTGTCCCTTTTGTTTATTCATTTGTATCATCACCCTAATGTCCTAAGATGGAAGCTGACCTTGATTTGATTTTCCTTTATTGCATTAGAGAAAATATCTTGTGTGCTTCTTTGAAAAAGCCCTACCCTGACTAGCATAAAGCCCAGTTACCGGCAAACCTCTCTGGCTTTAGGGCTCTGATTTCATCAAAGCCAGTTAGCTTAGCTCCAGTAGTTGCATAGTAGGGAGGCTTCTAAAGCAGCTGGTATTGGGGGTGATTATAGTAATTTCTTCCAAACTGACAGTCTCTCCTGCAAACAGTCACTTACTAGAAGCAGCCGTGTTCTTATGGAGTTACCAATGAGCAATGCATTTTGAAAACCAATGACTGTGCACAGGCAGCAGCCAATTTCCAAACATGACAATCTCAGATTCCTCCAGCCCCCGTGTTCTAGTCTGGCTGAGTTACAGAATCACATGACTTCTACTTTTCTTGCCCTCCAGTAACTCCCAGTGGCTAAACAGATACGCTTTAAAAATGTATAAACAATTTTTCTCTCACTATTGCTGCCAGGCTAGGGCTGTTGGAGGTGCTGCTATGTTCCAGCCTGGAGCAAGTGTTTTATAGCCAGTTGGTAAGTCCCTGAAAATCAGGGGCTGTATTGCACACTCTGACCGAGCTTTCCCCACAGGATGTCACTTTGGCATCCACAGCTGCAGGGGATGGTAGAGGAAGATTAGATTGTTCCTCCTTGGAATTATTGGCAGGAACGGAGCAGTTTCTGATAGCAATCTAAGCAAAGCCTTGTTTGCATCCTGCTGTGGAATCAGCCTCCTTAGTCTCTTGTCTGGACCATGGAAGTTCTGGGCACCTGAACATCCACATTCTAATTTCCTTCCTCCAGCGGGTGAAAAGCAAGTTGGCAGGTGCCACATCACTGCACACAAAAAAAATCTAAGTGCAGTCACCAGTTACAATCAGAAAGCTACTGAACTGCATCAGGAA